TCTCTCTCTCTCTCTCTCTCTCTCTCTCTCTCTCTCTCTCTCTCTCTCTCTCTCTCTCTCTCAGACCTAGTAGTGATACTGCTGAGTCAAAGGGTATGTAGAGTTTTATAGCCATTTGGGCATAGTTCCAAATTACTCTCCAGAATGGTTGGATCAATTCACAACTCCACCAACTTTGGTGTTCCATTTTTTTCCATATACCCGCCAGCATTTGTTATTTTCTTTTTCTGTCACATTAGCCAATTTGTTAGGTGTGAGGTGATACCTGAGAGTTTTCTTAATTTGCATTTCTCCAGTAAGTAGTTTTTTAGAGCATTTATTCACATGACTATAGATAGCTTTGATTTCTCCTGAAAACTGCCTGTTCATATCTTTTGGCCGTTCTTCAATTGGGGAATGACTTATATTCTTATAGATTTGAATCATTGAGAAATGAGGCCTTCATCAGAGAAACTTGCTGTCAAATTTTTTTCCTCCAGTTTTCCTGCTTTCCTTCTATTCTTGGCTGCACTAGTTTGTTTGTGCGAAGACTTTTTAATTTAATGTAATCAAAATTATCCATTTTATTTCCCATGATGCTCCCTGTTTCTTGTTTGGTCATTAACTCTTCCCTTAACCATAGATCTGACAGGTAACATTTTCCAAGCTCTTCTAATGTGTTTATGATATCACCCTTCAGGTCTAAATCATGTACCCATTTTGGCTTTATCTTGGTAAATGATGTGAGATTGGTCTATAACCTAGTTCCTGCCAAATTATTTTTTAATTTCCCCCCCATTTTTATCAAATAGTGAGTTCTTCTCCCAAAAGCATAGACCTTTGGGTTCAGCAAACATCAAGATTATTATGATCATTTACTACTGTGTATTGTGTACTTACACTGCTCCACTGATCTACCACTCTATTTTTTAGCCAACACCGGATTATTTTCATGATGGTAATACAGTTTGAGATCTAGCACTTCTGGGTTACTTTCCTTCCCTTTTTTTCCCCCATTGATTCCCTTGATATTCTTGACCTTTTGTTAATTTAGATAATTGTTATTTTTTTCAAGCTCTACAAAATAATTTTTTGGCAGTTTGGTATGGCACTGAATAAGTAAATAAATTTAGGTGTAATTGTAATTTTTACCATATTGGCTCAGTCTACCCATGAGCAGTTAATATTTCTCCAATTGTTTACATCTGTCTTTATTTGTGTGAAAAGGGTTTTGTAATTGTGTTCATATAGTTCCTTGCTTTTTCTTGGCAGGTAGACTCTCAAGCATTTTATATTGTCTGCAGTTATTTTAAATGGAATTTCTATCTCTAACCGCTGGACTTCATTATTAATATATAGAAATGTTGATGATTTATGTGGGTTTATTTTATATCCTGCAACTTTGCTGAAGTTAATTGTTTCAACAAGTTTTTCAGTTGATTCTCTAGGATTCCTTAAGTATACCATTATATTGTCTGATGAATGATAGTTTTGGTTCTTCAACGCTGATTCCAATTCCTTCAATTTCTTTTTCTGTTCTTATTACTATAGTTAGCATTTCTAGTACAATATTGAATAGTGGTAATAATGGGCATCAGTACTTCACCTTCGATCTTGTTGGGAAGGCTGCCAGCTTATCCCCTTACAGACAATGCTTGTTGATGATTTGATAGTTACTGCTCATCATTTTAAGGAAAGCTCCATTTATTCTGCTGCTCTCCAGTGTTTTTAAGTAAGAATGAGTGTTGTATTTTATCAAAGTTTTTTTTTGCATCTATTGAGATGATTTTTATTCTTTTTGTTATTGATATGGTTAAGTATGGTGATAGTTTTCCTAATACTGAAGCAGCCTCACATTCCTGGTATAAATACCACCTAGTCATAGTGTATGATCCTTGTGATGCACTGTTATAATCTTCTTGTTAGTATTTCAATTTTTGCATCAATATTTATTAGGGACATTACTCTGTAGGGTTTTTTTTGTTTTGTTTTTGCTGATTTAGGTATCAACAGCATATTTGTGTCTAAAAAAGTAATTTGATAAGACTCCTTTTCTTCACCTTTTCTGGTTTCTAATCCATTCTGCTGTTTCAATTTTATGGGTGAACTTATCCCATTCACATTCATAGTTATAATTACTGTGTATTATTTCCCTCCATCCTTTCCCCATTTATCTTTCTTTTTATTCTATCCATCTTCAAGTGTTTTGCTTTCGACCACTGCCTCCCTTAATTCACTCTCCCCTAAAATCAGCATTCCTACTTCTTTCAGTTCCATCTCTTCCTACTTCCCTATTGAGTAAGTTAAATTCCTATACTTGTGGGTATGCATATTCTTCCCTCTTTGAATCTAATTCTGATACTAACCTTCAAGAGTTTCTGCCACTCCCATTTTCCTGTCCACTGTAAAAGCTCTTCCTTGTGAGCCTCATTTATGTGAGATAATTTTCCCATTTTCTCTCTGCCTTCTCCCAGTGCATCCCTCTTTCCCACCCACCCTCCTTTTTTTTGAGATAATCCCATCATAGTCAACTCACACCCATGCCTTCTGTCTATGTATACTCCTAACTGCTCTAATAATGAGAAAATTTCTTAGTAGTTACAAGTATCATCTTCCCATACAGGAAGTTCAACCTTATTGAATCCCTTATGATTGCTCTTTCATATTTACCTTTTTTATGCTTGAATCTTGTATTTGCCCTATATCTTTCATCAGTAATGCTTAAAATTTCACTAAATGTCCATTTTTTCCCCTGTAGGATTATACTTGGTTTTGCTGGGTAGGTTTTTCTTGGTTGTAATCATAGCTCCTTTGCCTTTTGGAATATCATATTCCAAGTCTTCTGCTCCTTTAACGTGGAAGCTACTAAATCTTTTGTTAACCTGACTGTGGCTCTACTATATATATATATATATATATATATATATATATACACATATATATATACACATATATATACACACACACACACAAGTGTATATACATATATACACATATATATATATATATACATATATATATATATATACATATATATATGTATATATATATATATATACACATATATATATGTATATATATATATATTTTTTTTCCTTTCTGGCTACTTGCAATATTTTCTCCTTGACCTGGGAGCTTTGGAATTTAGTAATATTCCTGGGAGTTTTCATTTTGGGATCTCTTTCAGGAGGTGATTGGTGGATTCTTTCAATTTCTATTTTACCCCCTTGTTCTAGACTATAAGGACAGTTTTCCTTGATAATTTCTTAGATGATGTCTAGGCGCTCTCTCTTTTTATCATGGCTTTCCAGTAGTCCAATAATTCTTAAATTACCTTTTCTCAATCTACTTTCTACATCAGTTGTTTTTCTGATATTTCATATCTTCTATCGTTCCATTCTTTTCACTTTGTTTTATTGTTTCTTGATGTCTCATGGAGTCATGAACTTCCACTTGCCCAATTTAACTTTTGAGGAATGACTTTCTTGAATGAGCTTTTACGTTCTTTCCTCTTTTGGCCAATTCTGCTATTTAAGGAGTTATTTTAGTGGATTTTTGTCTCTTTTACCATTTGGCCAATTTTGTTTAAGGTGATTTTTTTTTCCAATACTTTTTTGTACCTCTTCTACCAAGCAGCTAATTCTCTTTTCCTAATTTTCTAGCATCACATTTCTTTCCCCAATTTTCCCTCTACCCTTTTTTATTTTTAAAATATTTTTGAGCTTTTCTTCTTGTTGGGCTGGTGTCCAATTCGCTTTTTTTTTCTTTTGAGGCTTTGCTTGTAGCTGATTTTGACACTGTCGTCTTCTGAGTTTGTGTCAATCTTCCTTGTCACCATGGCAGCTTTTTATGGTCAGGTTCTTTTTTGTTGTTTGCTCATTTTCCAGCCTATTTCTTGATTTTTAACTTTAACATAAAGTTGGGCTTTGCTCCTGGGGTTAAAGAGGCCCTGTCCCAAGTTTCGGGTTTAGTGCTGCTGTTTTCAGAGATAGTTTTGGGACTGTTCTCAAGTTTCCTGTGCTTCCAAGGTTGTATGATCCAAGGAGAGGTGTGATCACTGTTCTTCTGGACTATGTTCTGGTCTTTACTCAGTAAGGGACCTTGCTCCCCTGCAGCCTCAAGTGCTCATGCTTCTCTTGGCCTTAGAACTGACTAGGGTCCCTGTTCTATTGTAGCCACAAGTGCCAGGGATCCTTTTTTGCCTCAGAAATGAAACCAGGACCCCTACTCCCTTGTCAGTGACCACAAGTACCCTTCTCAGCCCTGCGACTGTGACCAGGGTCCCTGCTCTCCTGTAGTCACAAGCACTAGTGCTCTTTGCCCTGGAACTGTGTAAAGGCAATGCAACAGGGTCTTTCACCCAATGCAAGCAAAGAGTCTCCTGTAATCTCTTTCTGACCAGTTGTCCGACCCCTTATTATCTCTGGACTAAGAGTTCCCAAAGCTGCTGCTGCTACTGCAGCCACCTCCAAGGCCTGCTGTGGGTGTTGCTGCTGTGTATGTTCTTTGTTCTGGACTGGCTTCCACCCTGGTGTCACAGACCTCTTCTATCAAACTCCTAAGTTGTTTCTGGGTAAAAATGTCTCACTCCACCTTTTATTGGCTCTTCCACTCCACTCAATTTTTGGAGTTATTTTGTAGTTGTTTGGAGGACACTGTTGTGAGAGTGCAGTTGAATTGCTTCTTGTGCTCTCCATCTTGGCTCTGCCCCAACACTGCTCATCTGTTAACAAATCTGCAATCCACTAGACCCCCAAGTCTTTTTTAGATACACTGATATCTATTCTATCTTGCATTTGCGAGACATTTTTTTAACTACAAGTTTAAGACTTTAGGTTTATTATCCCTACTGAATTTTATTTTATTGGATCCACCAGGCTACATCTTTTCAAGAGCCTATTAGTCAGTATGTTAATTATCCTTCCTAGCCTTTTGTCATATGCAGATTTGATAAATATGCCATTTATGTTTCTAACCAAATCATCAATAAAAGTGTTTAACAGCACAGAGTTAGGCAAAGATCCTTGAGGCACTTCATTTCCTGCCACATCTAGTAAAGTTACATTTAGATCATTCCACTGTAACACTGACTATATAGTATTGCGTAACACTATCAAAAGAGGAAATAAGGTTAGTATGGTATGACCTATTGTTTATGAAGCCACTCATACTCTTTGTAATCATTTCCTTTTCTGGGTTCATGAAGCCACATAAAGCCACAAAAAACAGATAATTTCCATGACAAAAGAAAAGCTAAATCAAACTTACAAAGGTTTAGGTACTTAGGGACAGATTTCTTAAATATACACTAACCGTCCCCCCCATCCCTTTCTATTCAATAAAAGACCAACTAAATATTATAAGGGTCCATTATATCATATAATGATAGTCCTAAATAAACTGTTTGGATACAATAGGCAGCCTCCCAACAAAAATTACTATGTATTTACATTTATACTAATTTGCAAGATTAAGTGTTTCTATATTTATATGTATAAATATATAGGGATAGATGGCTTAAACTGATTTTTTTTTCATTTAGAAATAAGGGATAAACTTTTTAACAGTTATTTGAACATAGGATACTAACAAATGGTTACAAAATTAATCTTTTCAATACAAAATAACAAAATCAACAAAAACAATTCAAGAAAAATACATTTAATAAAAAAATGGATCTTTCATCTTTTCACCTAATTGCTGAATTATAGAAAACTAAAAAAAAAAATAAGAGCTATCAATAAGTTACTATACTTAACAGTGAGATGTTTCATTGCTTACTAAACTATAAAGCAAATATTTAATGCATATCTGAGATAATGGAATAATAATTTAAATTAATTTTTGCAACACTGCAATGAAGGAAAATAAGCTGTTAAAAAAAAAAGAAATCAAAACCAAAGAGAACAAAATAGCTATGCACGTCATAAAGTATAAATTTAAAAATCAGTTCAGTTCCTCATTGCCAACATGGCATTTATGTCCCAGATGAGATTCCGTAATTGGTCCATAATTTGTTTCAGCTGTTGATTCTTCTGTTTGAGTTTCTGGAAAAAAGACAAAGTTTATCAGAAATGTTTGATGAAATATATTAACTTATGATATTAATTTAACTAGAGTGACAAGAATGACTATGCTAATAATACAATGAATGCTATATAACTGACTCATGCAACTAGGCAAAATGACATTTAATTGTTCGTGGAGGAAAATGCAACACAGAACTGATATAATTAAACTAGAAATTATAAATAATGAAATTATAAGTAACTAACTGTGGCCCACAATTATTCCTTAAAACTAAGCATGTTCTATTGACAGCAAAATAAAGTTGAGATGCCTAACATTATGGTCTTCATCAAGTAAGAGTTACTGAATGCCCTCAGTGTGTATAATATGGCAGTATCTCTACTCACATGATTTTCCCTCTACAAAACGGGATAAAACTAGTAGCCTTGGTTTTTACTAGGCCAATAACTTACTTCTAGCACACTAAAGTCACTAGGTTACCCATCTAATATCTGATCAATTAAGGATTAGTTCAACACAAACATTTAATAGGCCAGGTTATTATCATTATAATAGTCTAGTAATTCATTGTACTGTTTTCTGTGTAGACCGTTATTTTTTTCATTGGGCAGAATCAACTCCTGATGTGGACATTCGACCAACAACTGCAGATCAACAATTATTTTACAACTGATAGTTCTGACTTTCCTGCAATTCTACAAGGTGAAGGAGTTTGTTCCTGGCCATGGGGTTAATATAACCAGCCAAGGGTCTGAGGCAGAACTGGTATTCAGAGCTTCCTGACTTCAAGGCCAGTCTTCTCTTGTGCCAAACTGACACACACTTTTTTAAATGTGAAAAGTTTTTACTATCAATTAATACTGGCTTAAATAGCATAGGATACGAGTGGCACATCAATATTTCCTAACACCTCACTTTTTAAATACTTAGATCTATGGTTTCATTAATGTGGGTATTCCCTACACTGGTGCTTCCTAATCCTGTGGGATTCTTGTCTACATTTTTCCAATTATCCTTCCTCTTTTCCTCCTCATCCACCTTCCAAGGATCCACTCAACACTCTGGAAGCGTTCTTCTTGGCCTTGTAATACGTCTGAAGTATTAATGGAACTCATGGGTTACTCATCTGCTATCCCTCATTCACACCAAATGATCAACTCATTCTCTTTTCTAACAAGATATTTCCTCTATGATACCCCTTACACAACTTTCTGAATATAGGTTATCGCTGGAAATAAGTTAAAGCTTAATCAATACCTACTGTATGTCTGTTTGAGGCCATCTACAACTTTAACTCCTCAAAGACTGAGGTATCTCTCTGCAATTACAAAGGTCTATTTGGAGAATATAAGTATATATATGCATATAACATGAAGCAGCTTAGAATTATGAAAAGCTCTGTGTAATATCAATTCAATCCACTCTCTTCCTCTTCCTCAATTCTAGGCCTAAATCACTATCCATCTGCACTGCCTATCCCTAATAGATAAATATACTGAGATACAAACTCAGTGGACTGACCATTTGACAATATATTATAATCTGAGCAAACAGACATTTTCTTTTTACTTTGTTTTTTCTGTTTTTGATGAGTAAGCTGATTTTCTTTTGAATAATCATCAATCTCACTGTAGAAACTCTGTAAAATTATGGAACTTGATGCAATCAGCACATTATCATCTATAAACAGGATTAACATGGAGGATCTCATGGTGATGAACACCTTTGGTAAAAATATGCCTTCCTGTTTTAGGCTTCATTTGATACTAACAGACAGTCACTGAAAAGCTATCTTTGTGATTGCCATTTATTGAGGGATCTTAATATAAACATGAGATACTTCTTGTGGGAGGAGACCTTTTAAGGTTAGTTGTTTGCATTGCTAAATGCTTTTTTTGTCATCAGTATACAATAAACCTAGAAGAACCTTATTTTCTCTGGAACTTTTAATCAAATGTGTGCCTAAAAACTTCATCTGCTGTAGATGACCATTTACAAAAGTTCTTTCTCCCTTTGCATATTTTTATTGAGTATATTCTTGGCACACTTATAGCTAATTCTCAGAAACAGCTGCATAAAGCTCAGAAAATAGGCAGAAACATAAACCTGAGAGAATAGAGCAGAGAACTGGAAGAAACGAGTTCAAGTCCTGATTCTGACACATGGATATAACTCTTGAAACAAAGTAATTTTTATTTATAACCTGCACAAGAATTTAAGCTAAAGGCATCCAGATGTGTAACATTAAATGTATAAATCCATTGTGTCAACCCACTATTAAGATATGTCTTCATCTTTATATTCTATATGGTTAAAATCTTTGAGGTGCTAGCTTAAAAAGTTACCATTGCTCCCAACAAACATTTTTTGATAGAGTGCTCACATCAGTAGCCATAGAAAGTGGCCAGTCAACTGCTAGAAAAGGGCTGCTTTCCAAGCAAAAGAAATACCCACAGTGATATAAATGTTAATGTTAGCTTCAGTAAAATTTGCCCTGTGCTCAGAATACGACTTATCGCAAAGAATTTCAGTCTATAGTATACTCTATTGATGAGTTTTTAAACAACCATAATAAAAACTATCTTCTACAAAGAGTAAACTAACATTCTGTTCACTCCCAAAGAAAAAGGTATTTAGGTTACATTTAAGAAGCTATCTTAATTTCTGGCTTCCATGAATGCTGTCATTTATGGTAAATGAGAGTGGAAAGAGCACTGGGGGTCAGGAACTCCAGGTTTTAAACTTGGTTATGCTACTCTGCACTGAGCAAGTCACTTAAGGACTTCAAGCTTCAGTTTCCTCATCTATGAGATGGGGATAAAAACGGTTTGGCATGGCTCACAGAATTGTTATAAGGATAAAAGATAATTATGTGAACATTATTTTAGAAAATGAAAGCACTACACAGAGTAAAACATTATCGTTACAAATTAAATAAAACTTTTCATACTTACTGCTAGTTATTTTATTATTAATCACATGATACTGTCCCTGAATCACTGGGGTACTTCATACCTCTCATATTATACCTTATAATTCTTTGTCTACAGATTTTATTTCTCATTGGACTGCAAGATTCAAAAGAACAGGGAATAACTTTTTGTATTCCCCATTGCACAGAGATTACACACCATAGATGCTTAATATACATTGAATGACTTACTAATAATAGCTGAGTTTGTAAAAAAAAATTGCTTTACAAATCTTACTTCTTTTGTTCTTGAGAAAAATCCTGAGAAGTATTATTTACTAGCTAATGGTCCCACAATTATGAAATGTCACAGGTAGGAATCAAATCCATTTCACTCCTGATTTCAGATTCCTTACTCTTAAACACAATTCCAATTGCAACGTTAGCAAAGAATAAATTTGCTGAGTGAATGGCTAATCTAAAAGAGTACTGAAGACCTGAATTCAAATCATAAATCTGATATTTACAAATTATATGACTATAGGTGAATTCCTTAATTTCTCTGAGCCTCCATTTCCGCAACTATAAAATGGGAATAATAATATTTGCACTGCCTACTTCATAGATTTGTGAAGGAAGGCACTTGGAAAAATATCAAGTACTAAATAAATAGATATTATAACTGGCTACAAATACTGAAAGATGCCCTACTAAATGTCCCAATTCATGGATGTCTAAATTTATGAACACCTAGTGTGAAAGAATCAGGAGCCCCTAATAATATGGTGAGAGTCTTGGCAAAAAAGCCTAAAGACTTATAATCTTCTATAAGAGAGGAATTGGACCTATAATGTCCTTGCTATAAGGAATTCCCAGGTGAGGAAGATCATACCAATTCAGGCAGAACCTTCTCCGCAACCTCTGGTCTTACAGAGTTGCCTGGGGCGCTGAGAATTTACATGACTTGTTCAGGAACACCCATTAAGTGTGGGTCAGAAGCAGGACCCAGGTCTTTCTTGGTTTTAAGGCCAATGATGTGTCTACTACTCCAACTTGCCTTTTTCTATATAAACATATAAAGGCAAGGCTTTAATATAATTAAGGCAAAAAGACACTATCCTAGAAACATTTAAATTTATTCCTTAGTTATTGACACATTTTTAAGCATATATCTTGACGGTTTAGTTACATTTCAGACTTGTCAGCCACACTGTCAGAAATAAAAGCAAAATACTAGCATGTAGAAAAATAAGCCTTACAATGACAGACAGAAAAATGTAAATTTAAAATCAGATAACATGAAAGGAATCCATGAGAAAATGGTGGATTATTTTTATATTACTGTAATATGATAGCTTCTAGTATTATGAAAGTTAGTTTATCTTAGAAATATCTTTCTAAAGAGCTTATTTGGTAAACACTGTACAATAGCCAAGAGTTTATATCTATCTACTCACCTGTGCCTAATCCTAAGAAGCTGTTAAACCTCTTTCCCCCTCTTAAATTAATCTCTACTCTTCATATTTTGCTCCTGTTACACCTTAAAGGAAGCTCCCTCCAATAAGTGAGGTCTTCTATTGTGGGTAGAAGTAGAGCCATGGTAAATTCACCTTCTTCCCTATGCCAAAGAGAGACTCAATGAATCAGAATCCCTGAAATTTCCCTTTCACAAGCCTCTGGAGAAGGCTTCAGGGCACACAACTTCATGCTCTCCACACTTTCCAGCTTATCACTGTGGAAACTCTACCCCAGTACGTAGTACAGAGCCCTATACACACCAAGCACTTTATAGACGTTTAAGAAGTGAACAACAGAGGAAACCATTTTCAAACCCAAATAAGAAGGCTACTGTCTTAAAGACTTTGTTTAAAATGTGGGACCCCATGTTGTCCCCTGAAAATCAGGACTGCTTGTACTTGTGCAATTTATAGGCAGATACTTCTTCAATAAACAGACATCTCCCTAATTAAATGAAGAATACTTCGAAGCAGCTGAAGTAGAAGGGCAATTTTTAAAACTGTCTTGGGAACTTTTCTACCCTAAACTAAGCATTATATTATCCTATGAGCAGTCTTTCCAAATCTGTAGTAAATCTGAAACTCTACA